TGATTTTTAAACAGGTTTGGCCTCCACTTACCCCGAGCCATCGGACAAACGCAAGTGGTTGGAGGATCAACTCTACAACTTCAACTATGAGTCGTCAATGCCAGTGACGTGGCCGTGGCCTAGGATGCCATATGTGAAGACGCGCCCATTGGAACCCACCATTCTCTTCAGTGATTCAAGTGATTAATTTTGTTTTTTTAGAAATACTTGAAATATTATATTTTTATTTACAAATAACACATTTATACTTTGAAAGATTTATTAATCTCTTTAAAGTCACACAATTATTGATTATTATTAGAAATTATTGTGTTTATATGTACTGATATTTTTTTCTCCTCATTCATTTAAAAGCCTTTGCCTATAATTTTATTTTTATAAACTAACTATCTGATATGGTAAGAGTAGAAATCGTATCTGCCTCTTTGGACTAATTCAAGCTTTATTATTTAAGTTTTGTCTAATTGAAGCTTTGTTTTCGTGTGCTAGAAATTACAAGTTATTTTATTATAAATTTTCAAAATATTTTTATAAACAAATACATATAACATTAGGTTGTTTCCTTTGAAAGTTAAAATTGCTTACAAAAAAATACTTTTCTCAAAATCTCAATAATTTTCCGAGTAGTTATAAGTCGTAATGTTTCAATTTTTTTTGGTCGAAATTGTGTTGATTTCTATGAAAAGTTTTTTAAGAAAAAAATTGAAATATTAAATTTTAAAATATTTTGCATTTTTTAAAATATATATTAAAGAACTTTGTGCAAGTTTTAGATAAAAAATGTGCAATTTTAATTTCCCGTTGAATTCGCCTATAATTAATTTAACCCTAACCATAAAACCTAACACACATTTATGCGCTTATATCCACGTATACTAAAATTAGCCCTATCCACATACATATTTCTTCCTAATTATATTCTTAACTACTTACAATAACCTAAGCTCAACTTTGCGCATAATAAACCAACATCACAATTGTTTCATTATCACCAATTATTGCTTTGATTCACAGACTGAATTTTGTTTTTCTTTCTCATTCATCCAGAGTAAGCAGCAGATTCCTGAATACAAAATGCTATTCACCCAATCCCGTTGACCATCGCAAAAATGAATTGAAAATCGTTTAAACCACATGGCTGCCGCAATTCACCCATACAAACTTCACATTAGGATGCTGTTCGCAAAGTGCAAACGTGTTTGTGCATACATCTACAATTGCAATTGTGCATTCACACATATACAAATGCCCTTACCTATCCCGTTAACATCATAGAGGCTAAATGCAAACTGATATAACTCAAACATGAAAGAAGTTAAAGAAAAGAAATTGGCCGGCTAATATCGTTCGAAAACTTGTATTATTACATACATACATACGTACATATTATATATACATAATATGCTACATGCATAGTTACCTAATGTGTATATACCTACATACTAGTATGATAACAATTGTATTGCATTGTATTGTTAAATCATTGTTTAGTCTAATTTATAATTACACAGCCTTACTACTTTGTAATGCCGACTTAATTTAATTTAATTTAATAATGAAAAATAAAAATAACAACAATAAAATATTATATTTATCATGTGAATATCAGAGACGAGACCACAAACATTAGTTGACGGTACAAACTGAAATTCAAATGACCAAAAATAAAGTAATATTGTTTTACTTGAAAATGGTTAACTTTTAGTAGTAAAAAGAAGACAAATTGTATTATTTGTAAAACATTTTATTAGTTTTATCGGCAGGAATTTTCGTTCGAACTAATTCTAAATTCTAAAATTAAATAACGAAGATTTTCTTTCCACGACAAAAGACGAAGAAAATCAACACTAGTGGCAACATCTCCGAACATTTGTATATAAGTTTGTCAAACACATTATCCTGCAACGACCTGCGCTATCAGAGATTTCTGTTAAGGTTTCTTAAGGCAACAATTCGAACCGAAAATCTTATGTACGTGTTATCGTTTCTTACGCAAAGGCCGTATGAGTTGAACGGTGGGTATAGGTTAGTTTCCGCGCTAATTCTTTGAATGTGACTTGCTGTGTACGTTTCTATTTTTTCGATACGTAGCAACACTGTTCTAAAATATATGCGCAATGTAGACTGATCAAAGTGTTTTTGGAAGGTTTTATTAAAGAAGTGACGTTCAAGATATATTGTCATATTCTTATATGTTAACTTATGGTGAGCACCATATTTATATATACGGATAGCCAAGCGGCTTTGAAATCACTGAAGTCTCCTATGGTTTCATCAAAGATAGTGAAAGGATGTCTTGATCCATTAGAGGATCTAACATCCTACTTCACGATAAATCTGCAATGGGCTCCAGAGCATAGAGATATCCCTGGTAACTGCGAAGCAGATGAACTAGCCAGAACAGACACCACACTAAATTTAGCCTCTGAAAATAAGGGAATTTTTATGCCTCTGGCAACTTGTAAACATTTACTCAGCGAACATGTTATAAATCTAGTTGAGTCTCGGTGGAGTCAATCACTGACTTGCTCAACTAGTAGACAAACTAGGCAGGAATGGAACATGAGCCGCATAAACCGATTATTAAAATTCAAAAGGAATGACATAAGAATTCTGGTAGGAGTATTAACAGGTCATTGTCTAATTGGTAGACATGCCAGCAGGCAAGCTATACCTTACAATGACTATTGTAGAAGCTGTCAGGAGGTAGAAGAAGAGGAGACTGTAAAACAACTTCTATGCGAATAGGCTGTATACAGGAAAAGAATCGCAACTATAGGTCGATAGGTTCCTAGACGACGTATAGGAAGTTGCTAACATAAAACTATGTATACTGATGAACTTCATCAGAAGCACAGGTTGGTTCAGAGAGGAGAAAATAGAGTGAGGGAACATTAGACCCGGTGGTATCATAATGGGCCTCCTATGGGCCTAGGTTGTCGTCAGACAGCCACTCTGCCTACCTACCCTACCTACCTACCTATAGGTAACTCAAGGCCAGCCATATTAAGAACACACTTATGGCCGCAAATTCGTGTACGTAAATGACAGACTTATTAAATTTGTTTGAATTTTACATATCCACATACATACTTGTATATAAAAAATGGTCGACGCTGTAGATTTTCGGTTATTACGAATTACAGTCAATTGTAAGCTCAACTGATCTTCACTACTAAAACACACCCATACGACATCTTGATGTTATATTATATAATATAATGGGAGGGTAATCAGTATTTGATGTAGAAATGGAAAATACGTCAGAGTTTTCCATGTTGCAACTTGTTAGCCAACATTTCAAAAGAAAATTTACCGAGAATTAACGTATGCACTTTTCGCTTGGGTATTCACCGATTCATTTCGTTTGTTGTTATTAAAGTTACAACAATAACAATCGCAATATTATGAAATACAATGGTTTCGTACAAGTTAACAGCATAAATTAACGACATGTTGTCGGAGCAACTATGGGAAGAACGAAACGTATGCCACCCACCCTGCAAGCCGACTCTCACTTAAATCACCGATCAATTACCCGAGAGCGCCAGCGGTGATTTCTGTTAAAGTTTCTAAGAATTTCTTAAAGCCGAATTGACGTTGTCTTAAATTTGAGCGAGTAGACGATAACTGACTTTCATAGAATTTTTTAGCCGAAATGCGAATTGCTTCGTTATTGCAAAGGTTTATATTAAAAGTAGAGAGATTTGGTACTTTTAAGTGGATGCGTCAGAAATTAAGTGCCATGCAATCTAGTTAAATTACGGTATAGCAGTTGTGATTTCTATTTTACGAAGCTTCTTTCGGTAATATCCAAATACCCAACAAAAGCACATTGAGTTTGCGGTTTTTAATTTGTGTGAATTCATACGATATACTAATTTTTACTTATTTTGTGCTCTCTAAATAAGTCGAGATCAAGTCGAGACAAATTTTACAGTTACTACCAGTTTTTGGCACGAATTCATCCACAAATCCTGGAAGTGCACATTTTGCACAGGTTTGCGTGTGTGCTTTTGTGTGTCGCATGTAAATCCCCTGAAAACTTTTCTTCAATAGTATAACAATGCAAATTTCACGTCTTCACCCTTTCAAGAGCAGGTGACCAAGTAGAGATTTACTCGTCAGTACTTGTGTTTGACACAGATCCACATGCATAATTGTAAATGAGTAATTGAGAGCCAATTTTGAATAAAATATATTCTCCCAGTGTTGGAAATCTTAAAGCCAAACAAATATTTTCAACGAACGCTCTTAGTCACTAGCACTCATGAGAAGTATTTACATAAAAGTTAAAATCAATCTATCAAAACAGTCATAACTTGGTTTTTTAATCAAAATTTATTTATAGACAATATAAAAAAGTTGTAAGTTATTGTTATTGTTGATATTTTAACTTAGAAAACATACACGCGTTTACAGATTTTGTACCAGGGTAGGACACCTTGTACATAGTGTGCGAAAGCAAGTCGGCCTGCATTTAAAAACGAAGACTTGAAAATTATAGAAATTGCGAATAAGAAAGTTTCCTTTCCTGTCTCGAAAGAGAACCGGCGTCACTGCTTATAATTACTATGAGAGTTTGACACATTGCTTTGGTTATGACGTGGTTTGTCGCTCTTAGTCCCTAGCATACTGTGATCCTAAACATTCAGACCTTTTTAACCGAAATACGCCGCGGTCAGCTAGGAGGCAAAAAGAGAGTAATATCCATAACCGCCAAGCTTTAAAGCCTCATATTTTTTCTATGAATATCCAGATGTGTATATATGTATAAATATCAACCGTATCAATTGAAAGTGGGTCTGGAATTTGGGAGTATCATTAAGTGGTCTTAACTTTACAAAACTAACTGAAACGGGGGTTCGGGTTCAAGTTCGTTCATCCTTTCTACCTTTATGGTTAAGCATTTTGTAATGTGTGTATGTATAACTTTCCTTGTAAGTCAAATTCAATATATGTTCAATTTATTTAATTTGAGTTTGTAGTACAAAATTTAAGAAGCGTTTATCACTAATTTAAGGAAGAGATTCTTAATTTAAGTTTCAGATATATTTTTAGTTGTATTTGCAAAAACACTTAAATTTTCCAACACTGGCAGCGCACTGCAACCTGCTAGCACCGGCTGCAGCGCCGGCGGTTCACGTAATTGAGAGTGAGCGCTTAGAAGAGCGCCGATCTACACTGCCGCTTTCAGCTCACTATATAAGTGCGACTTGAGTCGTTGCCAATCTCAAACGCAAAGCAGGCTCGATCATCTGTCAACACAACAGATTCCAAAGTCAGAGCTAGCACAACTCATAAGTTACAATTGGCACTAACTAAGTTTAGTTCTGATCGGAACGTGTAGTGATCGTAACGAAATTCCGCGTGCCAACAATGAGAGTTTAAGAACATAACAAATTACAAAAGTTGTGTCGCAAGGAAACTTATACTTGTGATATACTAGCAGGCACATAAGTGAATATGACATAAATGCCAATTAAATTAAGAAATTGCAGACAATAACAGTATTCGTAGTAGCGCGTCTAAACAAAAAATCCTCTTTAAGTGTGAACTCACGTTTTATTAACAAGAATCGAAGATATTTGCACATTTACATACATACAGACACTCGTATGTGCTTGTCTCATAAATTTCGAAGAAATTGAATAAGTGAAATACAACAAAGGGAAATGCATTTTAACAAGATTTTTGGACTGCTTTTAGTTGCCACTTTGCTGCAAGCGGCGAGCGGACGTAAGTTTCCATACAAATTCTATATAACATACATATATACATATGAACGTACATAAGTAGTGTTTAGTGTAAAGCTAATAGCTAGTAAACGCTATTAAACATAATCACTTACAAACTGCATTAAAAAAATTATAATAAATATTAAAAGCTTTGCATTCGAGAAACCTGTCAATGTTGCAGCTAACGAATTTCTCTTCTACTTTCACGCTCAATACAACGCTCATGCACACACACACACGCACACAAACCGGCACTCGACGAACCCGTCGCTGCTAATATCTGGGCAAACAATAATCAAAACAAACATATATATAAATAACAACAGAATCTTATTATTCCTGTTTGACACCCTATAACACATACGGACGCTGCATGCCGATCAAAAGATGTGGCTTCTTTCAGAAACTCTTCGCTCAGTATGGCCTCTCACTGCCACAAAACTATGCAGCGGATATACTGAGGGCACGTTGTCAAGGTGGACCGGAGGTATGTATAAATACCTACAGTTGTTATTTGTCAAGAGTCGAGAGACTTTACCTGTTGGAACATCGGTGGTAACTCGGTGCTTCTTTTGAAATCGCGCATTCGTGACTTTCTGCTATGAATTGACTTCTATTAGCTTATGCAATAACAACAGTAAAACTAGGAAACCACATTGATATAATTTAAGATTCCTGTACTTTTGGTTATGTGCCATTAGGGGGTTACATGGGTTTCCTCGAGCAAAAAACGGCCTATTTTCAATATTTTTTTTTCATATTAATAATAAAATATTTTACTCAAACTTTTTATTATTTCAAAGATACATATAAGAAAATATTAAAAACTCGCCATTCCGCGTTGACAGCAGAACTTCTTACAGGATCATCATAAGTATAAAGTAAAAAAATACGTGTTTTAATTAACACCATAAACTAGGTATTAGACGAAGGAAAAAGAAAACAAGAAAAATTTTTTTAGCAGACGTTTTTACAAAAAAAAAAAAAAAATTGTGGTGAACATTTCTTGACGTTCAAGACCTTGTAAATTATATCTCGAAGAACTGTGTAAAGGTTGAGTAGTTCGCAAGAAAGCTTGACAACCGTTTTTGAAAACACATCTTCTTTAACTGATTATGTACAAACACATTAAAAATTAAATAAGACAATAAAGAAAAAACATTTTTTTTTGAAGCCGTAAAACCCAGGTACCCTCTTAAGTCGAAACAATGGGAGGAGAAGGAATCAACTGAAAACGACTTTTTGATATGGATAAAAATGTTTCAGTGTAGCGAAAACAGTTATAATTCAAAAGTACTTTGTAAGAATATAAAAATAGAATAACGAAAAACCGCAAGACATTTTATTATATTGTACATATATTCCAACATAAAGGATAATTAAAAAAGTATTGTTTTAAACCTCTATCTTTCGTAACTTACGCTACTGATAAATGTAGCGACTTATGTGGACAGCGATACTAATTGCTGTTAATCTTTAAAATTCATGCAAGCATTGTGCATTTCCTTGAATTTCTCTGCTGATAAGAATTTTCTATGGAAATTAATTTAATTTTTTTATTTTAATGGAAGCTTAGTATCACAGCCATAAAGTTAAGTAGTGAACTAATAATAGCTGCTTACCTACATTATAAATGTAGTCTCGTCTTGTTACAGGGAAGAATAAGCTATTTTTGTAGCAAGCTTGTTGTGAGGTTTAAAACTAGAATGTAAGGTCTTAAAAAGTTTTACGAAAGCAACTATAAAATTACCAAAATTACATCTCTAATTGCGCGAGTACAGCTGCTTGACAACAGCATACCTAATTGCACTTTACGAGAGAATATCGTCTAGCTTCCGCTATTATCGAATACTATCAACGCTTATTAAAATATAATAGGTAGAACAGTCAAAATAAATAAATTGCTCATTTTAAATTTTTCGTAAGTTTTCGGTGATTTTTTCAAAACACGCTCGCAGCTATGTATTAAGGTTTCAACAATTACCGAAAAAATAGTGGCATTCCCATAAATTCTAGGAAGAACCGCGTTTTTTCAGTTTTTGCTACATTAGTTCGCCAGTTAGCCATTTTTTGTTCTTTTTTGTGTGCAAGTAAATTTGTCTTTTTCTATAACTTTATATACTCTGAATGATATTTATACATTTGCAAAACCCGTTTCTACTTGAATTTAATTCGAAACGAAATGCAAATATGTTTTTTAAAATTTATTGTAACTTTAATTTAATAAGCGTGCGCGTTTCAGGCGAATATGAAAAAAGCGCGTATTACTTGCGTTGCGATTAATTTTTAAGCGGAAAAAGCGAAAATAAAACAGCAACAAAATTTGAATATATGTATGTACATATGCAGATTGAATTGGCTCGTGTGTAACAATTGACCTGCGTTTGAACTCTCGGCAAATATTATTTGTTTTATGAATGAAATGGAGTTTCAATATTGAAACATCGTCTTTTAATAATTGGTATTTTTAATTAGAAATTAACACACACACACACAGATATTTATAAGTAAACAAATATACCAGCTGTTCTTAAGTTGATTGCCTAGATATTAAATTGAATATTTTTCAAGTTCAAGTTCAAGTTTTCATTTGAAACGATGCAATGTAATTGTTTACCCAGTTTTAACATTAAGATATGTACATATATGTTTATAATAAATAAATCAAAATATGTGCGGACTGCCGAGGATACTACAAGTGGCAAATGCATTGTGAATCCCAGTTGAATTTGATTAAGAGATAAATATATTTAACTAAAGAAGACTAACGGCAAAACACTCTTTTTACAATATAAAGCAGGGTTCCAAATGGTCTTGAGGCGGTAAGGGGTGTTCACTACAAGATATCAAGTCAGCTAAATGATATTCGGTGTACAAAATACTCAGTGATAATCTTAGAAAGCCAACCAGAAGTTACGAACTCTTATATTAGGTAAATGTGGGCTAGTGAAAATATTGCCTAGATTTTATCAATTTCTGGCATCATGACATACTCGTATTATTACCAAGGCTGCAAGCCGTTTTTGAACCGAACTGATTTTCGAACCGAACCGAACCGGCTCTTTTTATTGGCCTTGAATCGAACCACGAACCAAACCGCTTTTGTTTTAAAATGCGAAAACCGAACCGGCCACGACTCAAAAAATGCTTCGGTTCGGTTGGGTACAAAATGAAAATCTGCAATAAGGATTTTTGTGTTGAATAATACACGACATGCTTAAAAATGTAACCCTTGTGATAAGCTACCAAAAATTTGCTTGAATGCAACGCCATGAGATGTAATTTTTCACTGTTAAATCAAATAATCGCGAGTGTTCTTGCGTGTTCACAGAAGTGAAAACTTTGTAGATATTTTTGAAATGTGTGTGAATCCAGTACATAAGAGTCTTATTTTGACAAAAATTACTATACAAGTGAGTCAATACATTGCAAATTTGAAATGAAAGGAAAACATAAAGGCAAATTTGGCGAGAGACAAACAAAGAAAGCACGCCGATATTTCAGAGAAAACTGTTGTCAGAATTTCGAAGAAGAATTTCCAGAAGCACTCTGCATTTAAATTTCTTTCATTGACAGTCTACATTTTGTCATGCTACATACTTGTATATATACTTGTATGTATATTACAATAATTATTGGTTTCTTCTTTGTAATCAACGCTGAAAAGTTTTATGTACATATGTATATACCTATGGGTTTCTTCATATCAACCGCGGTTCAGAGATACTCATAAGGTGGTTCTTGAACCGGTATAAGTATTTTCTGAGTGGTTTGAACCACTGAACCGGACCGCATCGATTTTTGTAGTGGTTTGCAGCCCTAATTATTATCAAATAAATATGATCTCTGAGTTTCATTAAGATAACTCACACAGTCACATAAATGTATATGCAGAAGTTCGAAAATATCTAGATTAGATATTTAAGGGTGAGGGGAAGTATTGACCCGATTTGACTAATTTTTGAGACAAGGGCACATTATTATCTCACAGTTTGTTCGATATATTCTGTAAAACTAAAGCCAAGACACTATAAAGACGCTGTGGTACACATATTTATTTTATATCAGGAGGCTTGAACAGTTTTGTTCCGATTTCGAAAATTTTTGGACATGAGACACTACTAGTCCAACCTTTTATTTCGATAACTTCATTGGTGTTTGATTTATATATTGTAAAGTGAAATGATTATGATCCTTATCAGTATGGCATTAATAACTGTAATATATGGGAAGAAGGCTTGGTTGTAAGATAATAGTATGCGCCTAATTTCGTTCAAATTGGTCTAGTTGTGCCTGAAATAGAGGGTTTTACTAAAAGGTGGGCGGTGCCAAACCCATTGCCAATTTTTTACACTCTGAAGCATAATCTTGGTAGTAAAATTAAATGCTACTGACGTATGTCTTTTAAAGTATTTAGGGAGTTATCGCCCTATTAGAGTTATCAACATAACAGTTATATACGGAGTGGGCGTGGTTATCTTCCGATTTCAGCAGGTTAGGTTGATATAGCTTAAGCGTACATTAAACTTATAAGGGAACGGGGCCATGTACACTTTAAACAATTTTTGAATATTAATTTAGAACATAGTTATTTTGTGGACGGGACAATGATTAGATTACGCCCATCTGTCCATCCAACATTATCATGTTATCATGTTTACTAAGTTTCAAGACATCTTATTACTGCAAAGATATTTATATATTATTATAAATTTGAGCTATATTTCTTACATAATAAAACCTGGCTGATATCTTTGCATTTATGGCTTTTAGATACATATCTGTTGCGATGACAATCTCACCCCAACTCCCCCAGCCGCACCTCCAACGAAACCTACGCTAACAAATGGCGGCGGTGTGAGCTCCACCAACAATATTGGGTCGATGGATCCAGCAGGCTTAAGTAAATTGCGTGAACAAAAATGTGGCAACGCTGGCGGTGAGCGTGTATCTCATGGCGAAAATGTCGATCTTTATGAATTCCCGTGGATGGCGCTTCTGATTTATGACTCCGTTCAGGACCCCTACAAATGTGGTGGATCATTAATAACAGATAATTTTGTTTTAACTGCAGCACACTGCATGGTAGGCGTGGAAGGTCGAATGTAAGTTGAATATACCATAATTTTATGAATATATGTAAATTGTATTGTCTCCTTTAAGAATTGGTGTTCGTTTGGGAGAGCATGATTTATCCGAGCCTGAAGACTGCATAATAGTGAAGTCACGAAGGCTTTGCGCTCCACCGGTTGAAGACGTAGGTGTGGAAAAGATGATTCCCCATCCGAATTTCAGCAATGCACGCAAAACCAATGATGTCGCTTTGGTCAAACTGAACCGTTCGGTGAGATTTCAAAGTAAGTTAGACCAAGAATGTCCCCGAATCTTTTTCATTCCTTGAGAACGTAAACACAACTGAATTATTTTTTACCAACAGGACACATCAAGCCCATTTGCTTGCCCATCATCCCTGAAGCGGCGGAAATACCCATAGATAGACGCTTCTTCATAGCAGGTTGGGGTGGCACAGAGAACGGCCAGACGTCGAACATCATGCAAAAAGCTTTGGTTCCGTTTAAAACTCGTATGGAATGCCAACACATATTTCGGCGGACGCCCATCAATGAAAATCATCTCTGCGCCGGTGGCGATGGGCGCATCGACACTTGCAAAGGGGACTCTGGTGGGCCACTCTTCTATTTAGCACCGTATAGTGGATCTCAGAAATCTTTACGCTATGTCCAATACGGTGTTGTCTCCTTCGGTGGCACGGAGTGTGGCGGCGACAGAAATTCCCCGGGCATTTATGCGAATGTGACAAACTTTATGCCGTGGATAACCAGAAATATTGCTCAAAATTTAAATTAATTGCGGAAATATTTGTACTTGTACGATATTGTTGTATTATCTTCAAGACGTTAACACTTTTAAGCCATATTTTTTATTCTTATTTATGTAATATCTATTTATATTTTATATGTATGAATATAAAAACTCAATAATATTAGGTTATATAAGTATGAAGTGCCTTAAAACTAGCCCCATGTTGGAGCTACAAACAAATAAATAAGACTCAATTTTTTATAATTTATAACCATAATCGTTTTCATTTTTCAAGGCGGGTCAAAACCTAATTACCATACCATGAAATAACCGCGGTCCAAAACAATTGCTTAAATAAACAATTAACACCGTTGGGTTTTTAAACACTTGAAAAGACTACTCGTATAATACATACCAAAAGAAATGAAGCTAACACTTCACACTACAAAATTAAACCGTTACCACAACAGTTGAGTCTACGTAATCGGTACGGACTCTAGGATCTTTAGCCTTGGTATCTTGTATTTTTTTCTTTCGTATTGAAATTTGGTCAACTTTTGGTCAAAATTGGGTAAAACAAAACAGAGCAAATTCGACTCAGAGCTAAGATTTTTTATTTGAGAAATTCAGTATTTTCTCATCTCTCTTCTGAACTTATATATTTTTTTAAATTTACTGTCCACGACTAAATATGTTACGACATAAGGTTAATATTCTTGTAGGTAGTATAGAAAATATAAAACAATTACAAATTTTAATATGCTTCATTAGTTGCAATGTATATCCAAAAGCGGTTGAAACGCAAATATTCTTCTAGCCTGACGCTTCACCCGCAACCATAACACATTAAGGGTCAATAAATCAGTTCAGTCCTAGATCGTTATCAAACGCTTTCACTTAAAGCCGAACAAAAGATGATGAACAAACAAACGGTTAGGAACACAAAGGTTTTTATACGAATAAAATACTAAAATGTGAGAAAACATTTGTCACTTTACCGTTACACATATGCATATATAAATACTTATATACATTCTCATCTGTATATAAAAATATATATACTATGTATATATATAGTACCTATAAAAGGAGCACGAAGAGATTTAGACATTATGCAATTGTGTGATGTACGCTGAGTACTGCACGTAGTTACTATAACGGATAATGGCAAATTCGCTGCGTTTATTTCTAAAATGGTGGGTAAAATAATCAAAAATACATTCCATAAATAAAAAGGATGTAATATAGTTTAATTATAATTTTAAAGTTCATTCATGCTTGTGTCTTCATACTACACCCTGCCGTTTCTGGTGAAACTCTGTGTCGGACTTGTTAATAACTATTTCGCCACATCCGTATCCTTCAATATGGACACACTTTTGTAAGTATAGATTTATATAATATGATTTTTTATGAAAATACACCACTTTTCAAAGCATCAACTGGAACACCTCCTTTCCGGCCATAACCGTTTGTGAGATCTATAATGGCGAAAAAATTTGGGACATGAGCGAGCAATATTTCGGCACGGATCACGATCTGCAAATGGACGATTTTGTCGGTGAAGTGGTCTTCTTCCGTGGCACTTGTGCAACATGTGATAAATGCGACTATATGAAGTGTCCGCAGAATTTCACCGAGCTCTTGTCCCACGTGCGTATGAGTAACAATTTACTTGGCAAATTGATATTAATTTCACTTTTTTTTGTAGTTTCGCGGTAAATGCGCACAGTTGTTACTTCATTGTAGATATAAAAACCAATACTTCAATTGTTGCGACGAATTTCTGCCGATACACACCGAATATGGCATTTGCTTTGCGTTCAATTCGAATCAAGCACGGTAGGTAAACAACAATAATATATAAGCGGTGTTCGATACACCAAGATTTGGAGAGTAGCGAATCGAATAGACAACTGTGTGAATTATAGCCAGGGGTAATGTGAATAAGTGGATACTTTTGTAGCCGTTTTGTTTATTTTTTTCGTTGCGAAATTAGACACTGGCTAGAACGAATGTTAAGCTAGTGCTTAGGTCACTTATTATAATATATGCGTTGACCAATATTTGGTAGAATGAGTATTACTTATTTATATTGCTTACCTTTGAATTTTCGATTGACACCTTTAGAGAACTTTAAATATTCACATACCTTTTACATTACGAGTCCTTAATATTAATATATGTAAACATATTTTTTCGCGTTACATCCATTGCAGTAAAAGCGCACAAATGCAATTCGCCAGTAGTCGTGAAACCGGTCCTGGCATATTGACATTTGAAGTCTCTGCCGACATTCAGCTGCATATACATCCATCCATCGATATACCACTTTCCTACTTCGAGAGTACGATTCGTGAAACTGTGTTGCTTGGCAGCACCAAAGAGATCATCATCAATGTCATGGAGGTGTATAACCATCCCAGTGTCTATCAACTCACGCTAGATCAGCGTCGGTGCCGCTTCAGCAATGAACACACAGATTGGGGACTTGAAGTGGGCCTCTATGAGTTCTATAGTTTTTCAACTTGTATTGTAGAGTGCGGTCTGAAAGCGCAGCTGGAACATTGTAATTGCAGCAGCCATTTTCTAGCACCCGCAATGCAATGTAAGTCACATAACAGGCTGAATGAATATTCTATATGCTTACTACTTTTATTGCAGCGCAAAGTGGATCTGTGCCTATGTGCGATTATCGCGGCTTGAGTTGTCTCACAAAATATTATGAAGATATACAGCTGGAGCGCAAATCGTGTAATTGTATGAGTTCATGCGATGAACCTGAATACAATATCGTTTACAGTTCGCCGGATGGGTGAGTCTTATACTTACATACACAAACCATATATGTATGTATATAACAACTGCACAAAGCAGTAATTCAATATGTGTTTATTTAACTGAACGTAGCGAGAGTGAAAGTGATATGGAGGTGTCACAGGTGCATATCGCACTAATTGAACTGCCGACACAACGTTATATTCGACGCGTCACCAAGGCACCACTCGACTTGTTAAGTGAGTACACACGGAAAAGTATAGCTTGGCGAAAAACTTATAAAAATATGAAGGAAGTATTGTACAATACATTAAATTTATATTTTTTTCCCAGTTTCGGTTGGTGGCATAGCTGGGCTTTTCTTTAACGTCTCCATTGTTCGACTCATTGAAGCGATATTTTTAATCAAAGAGTATAACTGGTATGGTTTATGGAGCAGAATAGGAGTATATTTATGGACAATATTTCGCTCAATGTTAAATAAATGTTTTTTTAAGTAATTGCTCTTTTCACCTCACTCTTTATTTTAGAAGTTTCAACATAGCGCTAATATATTTCGCAATTCCATTAACACACAGGTATGTGCATAAGTATGTATACACAAAACGGCCATAATGCTATGTGTATAAATTAATATCTACAAGAGGCACACCTAATGTGTAAAAAGGATACTTTTTAGAAATTTAGAAATCATCAGAACATTTGGCTCCGACTAAAATCGCTGCATCTGTAACACAAAAACTATCGATTTATATATTAGCATGCCACTTTTAAAAGTGTAACCTATCGTAATAAACAAAAAATAATAATGTTTAATTCCACAATAAGTGTGTCCCTTAACGCAAGAAAATTAAATTTTTATATAATTCACAAAATAATAGCTTTAAGTTATTTATACGTTGTGAAATAAATGTTTATTGAGCGTTAAACTATACTTTCTATATAATTGATGGATTACAACTTTTCTGATTGGTTTCACCCATCATCCTGTGCGAATATGTTTGAATACATATATATATTGTCTTTAAACCTTTTATTTCAAGGATGAATAATAAAAATTGAATGTATATGTACTAAATTATCTGAAATCATTTTAAAACTAAATGCGCATTGTATTACAAAAATTTCATCTAAAGCACCATATTATTAAGTATTACTTTATACACATTAACATTTTTCAAATTCATTGAGTTCCACATAGTCTGTCTATTTTCACATTAATGTCATGTCTAGTATAAGTATCAAACTAGACATCATAGTTCGTGGAATTTAAATTGTTAATTATCAATGCTGTTATTAAGATTTTAGCCCTAAATAGTGTATTTACACTTAACAAAAATATATTGTGCGTTTTTACTTCGGTCATGTCCCATTCTCTCTTAACTCATACTCATTTTTTGTGTTTGTAACATGGGTGTATACGATGCTGAGCCTTCTTTTTGTGGTAACGGAGACACAAATTGTAGGAATGTTTCAAAATATGATGGCAAATACACGAAGCTGGAGAATATCACCAAACCAAGTGTTAGTATTACAAAACTATCTGTAAAAAGAAGAAATTATTAATTGTTTGTATGACGGGCTAAAATCTATGTAAGCATATTTTTGAATGTTGGTATATAAATAAGTGTAGAGATATGATCGGTGACCTTTGCGCTACTGAACCTTCACATACATAACCGACTTGGTTATTTGGATCCTTTCGTCTAATGTAATGTTGAAACTTGTAGCAGTAGACAATATCTACGCTCACAACACTTCAGAGAAATTATTCATCAAATATTTGATTTCTAATCTTTTTGTTTTAATACAGTAATGCTGTAGGTACTCCTTTAATTTACAACTTTTATCTGAAAATTATCTCTTTATTTAAGTAGTGGGAATCAACATTTAGATAATTCTTATCAAGCCTTCGCTTAAATTTGATTTGTAATTTACTACGTCTACTTACTTATTAGTTTCTTTTCCCATGGCTCAAACATATAAATGCAAGTAACCAATTCGTATTGCATGTAAAGACTCAATAAAATATTCTTGAAGAACTTCAGCATTTTTGCAACTTAGCTCAATATTATTAAAGTTGAATTGGTTGTCTCCTGACGGTGGTCACCTTCTCATAATATCGTGTATAAGAACGGTATATATATTTCCCAGCGTTCCTAATTGTAGTCACTACTTTATTATTTACTTTTTCCTAACTCAAAGATTTATCAAGCAAATTTAATTTGACATTCAGCTGACGTCAAATGTTGTTATCAGATGTGGAGCTGCCACATAACCAGTCGATTTTTATTGTACCACAAGTTGAGGAATTACAGAGAGGAAGAAGAAGGAAAATATTGAAGATCTAAAACACGTAATAAATTCTATAATTTACTATTTATATTGATGAAATTTGCAATATATGTGAATTTTTTAATTGAAGTTTTAGAGTAATTATTGCAAAAAACTCTCATAAGAATATACAAGATTACTTCAGCAAAATATTCATATTTTAAGAGCGGGTTAGTACCAGGGTGGCAAATAGTGCATACAAATTATTAAATTAACATATGAATAAATTTTTTGCATTTTGTAATACTGAAAATCTTAATTAAAAATAATGTTCTAATTTCGAATCCAAATACCTTAAAAGTTTTTAATCGCAAAAAGCATATTTTAAATTAAAATTGACACGCTCAACTGACAAACATGGTTTAAACTAAGATAATAATTTTTCCGTTTTGTTACACGGAATGCCACTCAAGTTTCATATATCCTAATATAAATTTCCTTAATTATTTTAAATATATATATTTTTGTAAAGAAGCGGCCACGCTCCCGCTTCAATTGACCTCAAGAACCATATATATACTCATACATATATACATATATTAGAAACTCATATGAAATTCGTGTAATCTATCATAAATATCTTGTAAAAGGATTTCGAATCAAAAACCTTAGTTGTTATATATGGAAATATTTTAGAGTATATTGTAATACCGCCAAAAACTCAACTACCATAAAATGCTTAATGAAGAAGATAATATTCTTTTTTATTTTATTCATTGCTTTTTACAAATTTATTTATAAAAGTAATAAAAGTTCTACAGTTCAAAATCGAAAAAATTATTAAAGAATAATTACTTATGCCAAACATCATTTACAAAAACGAATGTATAATCAATATAAATAATGGCTAACTAAAGCTTATAACTTCTAATTAAATATTTTATTGCAGCCTAGTTGTGAAACAATATATATCTAACAAACCTAACTAAATATGGAAGCATGAAAAAATTTAAACAAAATCAAATAAAAATAACTTTTTTAATGTTAGAAATTATTATAATGTATGTGGAAATTTTTGTGTTCGCCCAAAATATATTCCTCCTTATTTACTATAATTTTTATAAGCGTTAATATTTACACACTGTTTTTCATTAAGTTTAAATATATTTACAACAAACTTAACTTAAGTATTTTTTTTTTGTTAAAATTCTTTATATTTCCTAAAGTATAGCTTAATACAAATGTCTTTTGTAGGTTAGAATTACATATTTATCTATTCATTTGTTATTTGTTATTGTTTTATTCTTAATATCACACACTGTAGGATTTTTAAACTCAACATTATATGCACTAAACTAACGGCTTATTAGAAATATTTATATATTTTCAATAACTCTACATTTTTTTATTTCTAAGCTTAACTTGCGATTTAATTTAATTATACTACTTATAAGTTCAACTATTGCATATTGCTAGTTTCGAGTTAAATATTTATTTTTATAAAAATGGTTCAAACCAGTCCTAATTCATAAACAATTTATTAAGTAAACTTTCGGTCGAATGTTATCGTTTTTACTGTTACTACCAGCAGCGTATAGCCAAATAAAAAAAATCCTCTCGATCTGCCTTTGTTGCGCCTGACGCATATCCACTTTCTTCATTGCAATATTTTGTAAGGGTCCGAAAGGTGGAATATATTTAAACCTACACTTTGCTAGTTAATTCGGTAGATATTCTGAGATCATTGGCTCAAATGCATGATGGCTCCTCTACGGCCACTTCGATCGTGTACTACACCACCACGGTGAGCACGTCCGATTCTTCGTTGGCGGACGGTGGCATTGTCTTACAATTGATTGATCTCTTTCCAAAATCTTTTCGCGGACTATCCAGTGAACCGACGGTGTTTTTCTTCATATCAGAATTGGGTGTTTTGTGCAGCAATATTTGCGAATTGCGCTTTTGAACGTGGGCGTGGTGAAGTTCAGTCTTACTCGCCGTATTGGTTCTGCTGCCGGTCGCACTCACTTCCAGCTCGCAGTCGAAATTCGATTCGCCACAATTAGCTGGATAAAGTGGTTGTGAGCGATGCAGCGCTGAGGTGGAAGCGGCTACAAGTGACGATACCGTCGCTAGCTCTGGTGATGGATTGAGGCTAAGTTCCATGCCATTGGTGCGCCCTAAAGAAGTGGTCGAACCTTTGAGCGGATTTGTGTAGCGACGCAGATTTTCTTCATTTTGAAGATTGTTCGATTTCTCCTCTTCGTGACGCGAGACATCCATTGAAGGTGTAAGATTGATGCCCGACGTAGAGCGCGGGTGTAACCGTTGGCGCCACATAAGTGTTATAAATACGGCACAACCGATTAGCACAATGAAAATACCACACAGAATGCCAATTAGTAGGCTGCTATGATTGCCCTCCGCAACGAGTGCGGTTTCTACCTTAACCTCTAGTATGGAGACCAAAGGCGCGAATTTAGCATTCCGCAACTCTTTGCGGCGTTGTAAGCTGTTAATCTGACGAGAGGAGAGCAGCTCGCCGAGTAGGCCGACTGTGATTGGCAATTGCGGATCTGCTAACCTGGTTGACGACTAAAGTGAAAACAAATATGTATTTAAACTACTGAACCGCCATTACCTTCACTTTACCCCAGTACTTACCACAGTCATTTCGATGGTGTCATTTGTGCCCATTTTCAGATCGCAAATTATAATAAGCATAGCGTCGTTGTTGTCGTGCTGCGATTTCACCAGCTTTGAAGCCAGTAGAAAGCGTATCACCGAACAAAGTCCTTCAACGGAAGATCCCTCGCCAACTTGTTGCAAATCGAGCAGTATAGTAAGACGTGCGCAGTTCTCATTCAATATCGCTTGGTTTGGCCAACACTCGGGCTTGGCGGGTAGGCGAGGCGGAGCTACACGACGCGATGGCTCTAATGCCCGACAGTCACCACGAACTGCACAGGGCGGAGAGAGACACGCCTCATTCACTGTTGGTACGCACACTTCGTGTTGTTTGCACACACCCGACAAATTTGAAGATTTCGTAGCTGCAGCGACCTTGAAGCAATTCGGTAAACCACACCAGAGATTCGTGCAACGCGATGTACCATTCTCGCAGATACAGGCATTGCAGTACTCGTCGGTACTGCCAGCAAGGGCCAGTTCCAGCCAGTCGCCTTGAGTCTGATTCAAAGCATGATAGGGCGAGAGTGTGTTGGTAGAGTTTATACAAGCAGACTTAGGATCAGAAAGCACTGGAACGAAAAAGAAAACATATTTTTGGAACTTTCTTTTTAAGTTTCGTTTAGTTCTTGACGTACAAATTTCACAACGTAATCCATGTCGACCCGGAGGGCAAATACAAGAAAAGCCACCAATACCATCAATACAAGTGGCACCGCCCAAGCAAGGCTGCGGCGAACACTCATTCACATTGATGCGACAATCCGGTCCGGAAAAGCCCTGTGCACACAAACACCGGAACCAACCGGTGCCTGATTCACAAGTTCCACCATTGTGACACGGCTGTCCGCTACATTGGTCGATGGGTTCATCGCAGAATATCCCATGCCATCCGGGCGTACAACGACATTGAGATTGCAGGCCTTTCTCGGTTGAACTAGGAAGGCAGGTGCCACCATTTTGGCACTGACCGCCATAACACTCATTGGCACGTTCCGAGCAACGTTTTCCTGTAGAGGAGAAGTAAGATAAATCAGATCAGTTGAGGGTAAAATTTTATAATTTTTTAAGTCTACAGAATTGACTAGGTTTTTAGACTGCGAACGGCAAATTCTTAAAGTATTAAGTTCAATAAACCTAAATAATAATACGAGTTTATGTTGAGTTAGAGAAAATATTCCGAATCTTAGAACAAAATATCTTTGAACGGGTTTAAAAAAATTAAACGAGTTTATTGAAATCTCTCGATATTTGGAACGTAAAATATAGCGGAATGAGTTGGCTTACACTCTCAAGATATCAAAGCACCATTTTTGACATATCGTGCATGAATAGTTAGGTATGCTCAAGCTCTGTGACTTCCGATCGAGCTCACAGTCGACCGATACATCGTTAGACAAAGCGATGAAAACGATGACATAATTGAATTGCTTCCTCATTCACAACTAATTTAATGTCCGGTATGAAATTGTCAGCTGACGAACTTTATTAACTATAAATTAGCGAGTTAGCTCGTTAAAATTGTTGCCACTCGAAACATGATCCCCAGTGAGGCCAAATTACATCAAACATATTTACATGCTTAAGTATTGACAGTTAATTGCCGTCAGCAAATACACTGACTTAAACGCATGACATCTACTAGTAGCCATCTATAGAGCCGAATGCTTACTCTCCGTCTCCTTGGTCAATATTAAATGCATAAATTATTTTCCAGCCAGTGTAAATTTAGCTTGTTCGCAGGCAATTGAACAAATTCTTTAAATTATTTCTCAGGGCTATATCCTAACTAACTTTTCGACACCATCGCACTTTGTATGCACGTAAGTTGACCACTGGCCAGCTCATTTGGTGCCATCTCAATTGGCATACACTTGTACGTACAGAACATTTGCAAACACCGCATCGAATGAATGTACGAACATGCACGCATGCGCCGTAGTCTCCTGTCTCGATATGCATGTGTATCAGCGCTACAAATCGGCGTACAAGAAACGAAATGCAATTTATTACTTCACTGTCACATCCTGCCACCACCGCTACTGCTTGCTGCCGCTTGCGGTTGCTGCAACTTAGGATGCGCGTTTGTTGACTCTGAACTCCTGTGAGTTAAGAGGCAAGCGGTTGCCAACGCCACCAACACCAAACGGCAGCAAACAACAACAATCAGCAACAGGCTAGCAGGCAGGCAATGCGGCGATTCCAACACGAAACGGCAATTGGAAACGCGATCTTTGCGTTTCGTATTAATTCGCTTTCAAGTTTAACACAACCAAACAAGACAACGGATTTGTAAGCGAGCGCATGCGCTCCTAAGC